GACTATCCGGTCTACAATGTACAGAGGCAATCCTTGGCGTCCATTATAGTGCGTCTTGATAATGGACAAATGTTTGTTGAATCTCTTTTAGCATGTCGTTGACAAATGACATTGCAGTTGATGGTGATTAAAGAACTGCTGAAGTTTTTTGAAGAAGACGGACCTGGTCAAGCGGCTGTAAAAGGGACGTCACGTTCCAACCCAGACTATTGCACTTTTAGTGACTAAGCGCTTCTGCACTTGTTCTGTTTTTTGCTGTCTTTCCTTGATTATCATCTCTTTCCTCTCTGCCCTTCAATCTCTCTCCGCTTTCTCACGTGTAAGGTAGCAAACTGGTTATCCTGGACTGGTTCACCTCCCTATTTTTCTTTCTCTACCATTCTTTTCTCTCTCGCAGAAAACTAGTTTAATCGTTATAATATTTTTTTGTCTTTTTCATGTTCTAGCGTTTTCTTTTTCTGTTAAATTTAACCACGCGTCACGTTTCACCTTCAGACACCTTCTGTCTCACGTTGCTCCGCGACGTCTTTAATTCTTGTTCGGAAATCTTATACGTTTGCTCCTCGGTAATGTAAGCAGAACGTGCTAGAGGACAAATTACATTTGACCTATTCCTCTTTACTATTATTTCTACCCTGTAAAGAGGTTAAGTGCTCTCAGACATATCGCACTGTTCGCAAGTGCACTTGCCTTTTTAAATATTGCGCGCACCGAAAGACTCCCGTCATTCTAGCGCAACAAGCGGAAGGCACAAGCTCTTGCATTTTGGGACTCACGTGGCTTAGTACACTTAACTCTAGCAAGTGGTTGCATTACCCAATCGCTTTATTGTGAATGTGCATCTCCGGTGCAGCACATGCTTTTTTTTATTTTTCCTTTCAAAAGCATTATTATGGGTTCTTCACAACGTGTTTGTGAATAGAAAGGATGAAGAACACTGGCGAATGCTTTCGTAAAACGCAACTTCACGGCACCTCACATGATGTATTTTATGCACACTCGTAATGATTGCGTGTGCGAGAACAAAGAGTTGATGGTTGAAGTGTGGTTTTTTTCTGGAGTGGCGTATTCGAAAGCACTTTCATCCCAAAAGGGCACTGACATCAAATTCAGTCATGTGAAGATTTTTGCGTCAATGAGTAGCTATCGATTACCCAGTAGCGCTTTTCGAGCAAAAACGCATCTGTGTGGCGAATGAGTATCTGTGATATTGATTATTATATTCACTGTCAAACGCGGTTCAAAATGGGTGGAAAGCCCGCCAAATTGTAGTGCTGGCAGCGCTACATCTTGGCCAAGTCGAGGCCACTGCACAGCTGATGCCGCTTCCACAAAAAATGGTGACCTCACACTGGCGTTTCGTCTGCTAGGAGCGCACGTACAGTCAGTCCAGCTGCGTCTTAGAAGGCGAAGACATGCCTCTGTCGCCAACATCGTCGTCCCTGCCGTCGTCGCGGTCAACATCGGCAAGTGATGATGACAGCGAAGTGGAATCGGGTATCGCCGCGATTCGCGACGATCCTTTCTCAACAAGCTCCGCGTTAAATGCACTGTATTTATCAGTCCCGGCCGTACTGTCGGAGCTCAGGAACACGAACTACGCACCTCATGTCGCGGACGTTTGGGGAGTGAATCACTGCTTTCAGCTGCAGCAGGGCACACGGTCGGAATAGCCCCGGCCTCGAGAAGAGGCCTCGTACTGCCAGTAAAACCCAACTGGTTCGCCAACACAGGATTCACCCTGCAGTAGCTCGCCACAAAGTGAAGAGAGCAAAATACAGCTGTTCTTCACGGGCGTCCAGTCCCTCTGTCCAACGGCGCGTACGAAGTCAACCAACTGGCTGCGTTGAGGTTCGTGGCTTAGAAAGACATGAAACACCACGCACTTTCCGCTTTTTCTGCGCCTCGACGTGCAGGTTCTCACTACGCAGCAGTTCCCTGACATTCTGGCACGTAATGTCACTCTGAATGATCGTACTCACACGCAGTGTACCACAACGCAAATCAGTCGATGCGACACGATGAATCGCACGCACGCTTCAACACAGCCAGGAGAGTCACTAGTGACTGGGAGTCAGCTCCAAAGACACTCGGAGATCGTCAACGTCATCTTTGCTAGCGTATCGTCACTCAGGATGATATTTGTGAAATGTATCACACCGAACACGTAGCACTAGTGTCGATGTCGCGGGGCAGTCTATTTTTTGTTTTTTCTCTTTAGCTTTTCTACGCTGTTTGACGTCAAAATAAAATAACTTCGACGCAGCGGACGCCATTCAAATTTGACCAAGCAGACCTAAGCATACCAAGTGATCGAATGATGGGCACATCTCGATCTTGAAATTTGATGTCAGTGCTCCTTTAATGGTAGTAGTTCACGATGGCATTGAAATTTAGTACAGAAAATGATAACCGATAAACGTTCTAGCATCTTGTCTGAAGAAAGACTACTAGCTAACATAAAAAATTACTGTGTCGACAGTTATGTAGATCATTGTCCATATCGTGATGCTGATAGCTAAAGCAGTAGTCATAGCATTTGGTGACCAGCAGGGAAAAAGAGGAAGAGCAATTATTGAAGAAATGGTTGTTAGTGAACGTAAAAGGATTCCTTGTTTCGGGAACCCTCTGGCCTGTACCTCCCGCTAGGAGCAAAGCTGGTTAGCGTATCTGTGCTTGGTATCATAGTGTTTCACACCTTCCGCTATCTATATTGGACATCTTTAGTTGGGTGTGTGATGTGACTGCAGTTATGTGTCCTCAAGGAGCATGCCAAGGTGACACTGCGCATGTGCAGTACACAGCAGCACCACCTGCATCGATGTTTGTTTTTTGCAGCAACTGCCTTACAGCCACTTTGGTCTGTGCGGGACTCTCTGGTGTGTTCTTGAGCACCCACGAGACCACAATGGTTCATTAATTGATTAATTGATAGATTGATATGTGGGGTTTAACGTACCGAAACCACCATATTACTATGAGAGACGCCGTAGTGGAGGGCACCTAAAATTTGACCATCTGGCGCTCTTTAACGTGCACCCAGTTAAAAGCACACTGGCCTACAGCATTTTCACATCCATCGAAAATGGCACATTTGCTGAATCTCTCAGGATTAAATAAGCAGCGATAGCTTCAGAGGCAGCAGTTCTCGGGCTTTTTTATATGAATGGCTTCTAAATCAGATACAGGGGAGACCAGTGATTTCGGCGCTGAGCAACACGCGACCGGCTAGCCAATCGTGCCACCTAGCCATCTACCCCTCCGCCGCCACCAAGAATAATGGTGCTCTGCACTAGTACCCTTCTCTAAAAATGATCACACGATTTGTGCCCTTCGTGCGTGGGTATTTGCGGACACCCAGCCAAAGCTGTCGCCTGTCGCCATTGCAGTGTCGAGTAAAGGCTCAGTGCGTTCTGCTAAGTGCCCCAGCTGTAACGTTTATGAACCTCTTGTTTGCCTTATTCTACCGATGTTGTTTCTGGTTAGCTAAGTAACTGAAGCACAAACACATTGTTGGTAAAAGTGGACAAATGTCCAAAAACAATTTTGGTCTAAGAACTATGCACTGAACAATTTTCCGCTTATCTTCCTTCCGCGCTTACCTAAGTAGCTGGGACTCCTACATACCAGTGTTTGTACATGTGTTAGTAGGTGCACATGTGCAAAGCCCCAATACTGTGTGTATTTTTGTGTTGATGTCGCATTGTTTGCTTATGTATTATCGTAAATAAACAAATTGACAGATTGCAATAGTATTACCCAAAAAAGGGGCAATTTTAAACATATATTGGTCCTTGGAAAAAATTACGTGGAGCACCCTGTTGTCAGTAACTCACCGACGAAGCTCGGCTAAGGTGAGATTGTAAGCTTGTAGGCTTTTAGAGGTGCTTCAAAAGAGATGCAAAAGAAGGGCATTTTCATTGTCTATTTCGGCTTTGACATCAGATTATGGTAAACTTCTACGAGCCAATATAAAGCGTAGGCAACAAAGAACTCTGCCACATCGAGATGAACTATCGTGGTGGCGTAGTGGCTAAGGTATTCCGCTGCTGAACCGCAGATCGCGTGGTCGAATCTCGGCTCCGGCGGCTGCATTTTCGATGGAGGCGAAAATGTTGTAGGCCCGTGTGCTCAGGTTTGGGTGCACGTTAAAGAACCCCACGCGGTCGAAATTTCCGGAGCCCTTCACTACGGGGTCTTTAATAATCATATAAGGATTATAGGACGCTGAACCCTACATAACAATTACAGCAATATAAACGCATTACGATGAATGCTTCACTATTCACGTTGGTTTAATCGTTCTAATCACAGCCGTCCGTATACAGGCTTTCTATGCATGATACCCAAAAGACAAAACAAAAAGTATTACAGCAATTCTGCTTGCACACCTGGAAATTTACAGTGGAGAACAATAACTGCGTGGACAGAGGATGCGTTAGGCTTTCAGAAAAGGATGCATAAGAAGGTATGAAATCTAAATTATCTGCTAATTTTATGTTCTAAAGGCTTACGTGGCTAAGGTAATGCTTTGCGGCGTTTGGTATTGTTGAAAAAAAATGATGCAGTGATTTTCTATCTAACACCGGCAAATGTAACGCTTTAGTTTGTTCAAAGTAGGTGATGATGTCTATTCTGTGAAGATCTTTTTCAATCTGCAAGACATTTATCTGTTGCACAGTAAAAAAATAAATAATATATTCTTGTCCATTTCCTTCGTTCGCATTAGCAGCCTAAATTACAAAAAAGAGAGAAAAAAACAGAGGATAAGGAGAGAATTTAGTTGCATCGTTTTATTATGATCTTATTGTCCTCATGTTCTATTTGTTTCGGTAAAAAGTGTTCACCCTTCCATCATCAAGCAGATCCTTTTGTCTCTCCGAAGGAACTGCGCCTGGATTTTCTTCTAAACTTTACGTCACAACTGGACCTAAACCTAATGGAGGGTTCACTCACGTTGCTTTATTGTCGTTTTTTTTTTCTGTCTGCCTTTGTCGCAGGATGGTGCTATCGAGTTCGAAGAGTTCATCAGAGCGCTGTCGGTAACGTCAAGAGGGAACGTAGAAGAGAAGCTGGACTGTGAGTAGTGACTTGGAACCCTTTCTGAAATGTTTTATGGGCAAGCTACACAAAAAAATAAATAGCAGTTGCAAAAAAAATTGCGCACCGCAAATCACAGCGAGGAGTAGGTGAAACCAAAGAGTGTCACTCACAACTGTTTTTATTCGCCTGTTTTTCGTGGTGATTTGCACTGTCTAAATTTCTTGGAGCATACACCAACTAGCCCCGAAAAAACAAGTAGGAGTGAACTAGCAGTCATGCTAGTAAATATGCCTGGCATTACAAAAACTCATCTTCTGCAGCCAGTGTCATTTTTTTGCCGTAGAGTTCTTAGCAGAGTAATGAATTAGTGAATTGAACCTTTATTTCAAAAAAGAGGACGGCTTTCGGCTGCAGTTTAGAATAGATGGGAGAGAGAATGTTGGTTGTAATACGTAAGCATATTAAGCTAACATTCATCTCAATCCGTTCTCACTAGAGATTCAATAGGGTCATTCCCGCGCGAGATGGTTGACCTCTTCTACAGAAACAGGCCACTTGTACGAGCATCGGTCGCAAGGGCTGAAAAACAACTTTCGCGCAACCTTGCATTAGAAGGAGTGTTTACACGAATATTAAATTCTTTGTTTGTGAATAAACAGATATACAGTCGTAATTCTGTTAAAAAAATTCAAGTTAAAAATATACGCCAATAATTCTCCTTTCGTTCTCGCATTGAAACTCAAAGTCGAGGCGGACATACTTTGTCACAACCTAAATTACCTTTACAAGATTAATTACCCGAAGCTTGTTATTGACGTTTCTAAATTATTCATTGGACGCCAGGTTTCCTTATTACTGAATTATAGTTTTTGACAACCTACGGTATACCATTTTTTTAGATATCATAAAAGTGGCATGTAATTTAAGACATTCACTACTGACTTTTAAAAGTGATATCAAAATTGACGGCGCCCGGTGCGCCGGAACGAGGACTCTTTCTGTTGCGTAAAACCGGAGCTACAAATGACAAGGAAGTGACCGAGTTTGAATCCAGGCGCTCCGAATAAAAATTTGGGTCAGAAAAAACTAGAAGCATTCGGAAATGCACAATCAGGCAGCCTATTATATGAGTGCTCTGTGTGGTAAGGGCGTATGCCGAAATTCAGTTCGGGGAGGAGAGGGACGACGCAGCACGGGCCTAGTGTGCCACCACCTGGCTACGTCACTGATGTGTGGTGCTTATCTGTGTCTTTTTCGATCTACAGAAAGCGAGAGAGAGGAAAGGCAGAGATGTTAACCACCTCGCATAACATGGTATGCTACGCTGCTCTCGATGGCGGAGTTGAGTCGGCACTTGAAATCGCCACAACGTGTTTTAGGTGGTGTTTTAGGAGCTTCTTGGTGCATTCGGAGTTGAGTGCGAAATATTTTTGAACTATGGAGAGGCATGAAAAACTATTTCGCCTGTAAGCAAGAAGCGCTGCTGTGAGTACCCTAAATACTGCACAGAGAAAGAAACCGTCGATATCTGAGATGTTTCTTCGCACACTTCTCGAGAAAACAAACTCCACATACGCATAGATAATGTGGTTGGCGCAAGACTTCCCAAAATTTTGACGAAAAAATACGGACACGTCACGTCCGAATTCAAATTCTGTTGCTTTCTTGTGATGGTTAGTTCCGGTTTCACGTAACAGAGTGCTCACGTTTCGTGCGCGCCGAGCAGGATCGATTTCGAGCTCGCCTTTAAATTTCAATGAAAAATATCTCGAACAACGTGCAACTATGTCTTGAAAAAAACTCGTACGTCCTACATTGCCATGCATTACAGCTTTCTAATATAAACTGCCCTAAAACATGACATTTTTTTTAATTAACAAATTACTGTGAATTATTTCTAACAGTTTCATTTTAGCTACTGCAGCAATACCTTTCCATCTTTGCGTAGAGTTCTTGTGCGAAAAAGACAGGAGCTTTACCACGCTAAAGTTTTCATTAACATCTATTGTCAAAAAAAAACATCTTGTATACTAAAGTTGATTGAACGTTAAATTGGTTTCGGCAGATTTGCCACTTCTCTTTCGTGAAGCAAGATGGAGTACCGATGTGTGCTCTGCTGTCAGAAGTATCAGTGTCAGTGGCTTAAGTGACAGTTACTCTGAGACTGCTAATGCAGGAATGCTCACGACGCTAAACGACGCCAAGTGCTGAGCTCATCGTTTAAGTTGTAGAAATTATGACTTCTCAAGGAGTTGGAGAAAAACAGCCGAAAAAAAAACGAACGTCAAGCAATGGAAATGAACAGGACGAGGTCAGAAAGGACGTAGCACTGCGTCCTGTCTTTCTCCTTTTTGTGGTTCTTTATTATTTGTCTTGCCCTAATTAGATAAGCGTGCTGTGGCAGGAGGATCATTTTTATGGTAATTCACTGGGTATATAATTCACATTATTTATGGTAATTCACAATTATGATAATTCACATTATTTAATACCTTTAGCGGAGCTAATAAAAACCAAGCTTGCAAACTAATAAAAGAGTGTTCTAGACAATGAGCTTCCTGTTTGCAAGAGAGAGATAGAAACAAAGAGAGAGAGAGAGAAATTGAAATAAGGTGTGACGCGAATAGGACACACACAGGACACACACACACACACACACACACTGCGCACACACAGCAGAGTGAATGCTGGCAGCGTGGTAATATATATATATATATATATATATATATATATATATATATATATATATATATATATATATATATATATATATTATTATTATTATTATTACCACGCTTTCACGAAAAATGACGAGGATAGCAGAGTGAATGCTGGCACACTACACGAAATATATAGGTATTTATGGCGTAGTGGGTAACCAGCAAGTGTGCTTGTAGCAGTTACTCAAAGAGTGTTGAGAAAAGGCACTGAAAGGTCGCTCTTCGAGCTTTAGCTATGACAGTGCTGCGCGTTCCGCGCAGGCCTGGCCCTTTTCTCAGCTTTTAGCTTTTTTTCAGGCATTGGTATGTTCGTAGAAGAACTGCCATTCCGCAACGTGGAATTGCATCGGCTCAGTTGTGTGCCAGCACCCTTCCTGCGTTCGGCCAGCGTTTGTAGGACGATACATTCTTGAAAGGGCACTCTGTGCCTCGAAGGTGTAAACAGGTTCCAAGAAATACAGTTTCGACATATTTCTAGCTTAGAAAGATAGAGTTCTGGGTGACTTCCAACTCCACAGTGAACAAGTGACAGCGCATCGCATAATGAATAAAGATGCTACAAAGCATGTGCGACGCCAAAGTTAACAAAAATATGTCTCAATTTTCACCTGAGGGTCCAGAGAGTGCTTAGTGTAGCATCTGAAATGCTTATTTGTGCGTTGCCTTCCCACTGGTTTACTTCAATATAGTAACACTCAAATACGCGATTCCATAACTCCCACATACTACTCATCAGGTATCACTGCAGTGCGTATTTGGTGTTTTGTTTTTTAGTGTCCCTGTAACTCTTTTTCAGCGTTGCAAGAAAACTCTGCCGATGGATATGGTCGAAGTTCCCGAGAACATGCGAGCCAAAGATTATAGAGCAGTACGCAGCGTCGGATTTACAAAAAATTCTCAAATTGAGCTAGAAGTCATTGCGTTTTCATTTTACAAATGATTTCATGCACTCAAATTCGCGATCTTGGGCTGAATTGAACATCGTGATATGCGTAGTTGCGATGGCCACCGCGGGAGAACACGGCGTGCCCGTGCGCTTGCTTGCGATCACACTTAAGGTAAGGCGTGCATTCGGAGGAAAAGAGGAAAATGAAGTGCTCAAGGTCAAGTAGCGAAAAATATGTAATTTGTTTGTATTGGAGGTTTCTAAATATTTTTGCCCAGGTCGATTCGTTAGGCAATAAGCTAGTTTCAAGAGACACTAAAGAGAAATAAAATTTTGGTTTGTATTAATAAAGAATGCTCTGAAAACGGCAATGTCATGATTTGCATATCAATAACCTCATTATTAGAGCAGGAAATCATGGTTGAAATTTTTTTTTAAATTTCACACCGAAATCTCCGCGCGTGACGTTGAAATTTTCAAAATGTTTTTTTTTGTAATTTTGCAATATTCGTGAGCTGAAACTGTTTTGAAACTTATGCTAGGTCTATGGCACCCACATAAGCCAATGTAATTCATCTTTAGTGATTAGATCCTACGTAGGGCACAGTAGACGCCTTCAAATATACGACGTCGGGGTGTTTGCTGTGGCAATATCAAGGTGGCGTCTCCATCCACATTTTCTTTTCACACGTATTTTCGTTTACGAAACATCGTATTGTGGTAAGAGAGGTGTTTTTTTATAGACAGTGAAATTGTATTTTACTAATACGCAAAAAAAATATTCTTTAGTGTCGCTTTGAGGAAGCCATTGAATAGTTAATTGGAAAAAATGTCGCAGGCCCTTTAAATGATTGTTTGACGTCCTCGCAATATGGGAAACGGAAGTTAAAAAACACAAACAAAAACAGGCGTCCTTTACCGAGGGTTGATGTGGTTTGCGATTGAGGAGAGACGAAAAATACAAATTGCTGTATGCAATCAGGACGGTGCTTTCTTTCTGCTACCCCCTCAATCAGTATACTTCAACTAACTTACAAGCTATTGTGAGTAAATAAATAAATATACAAATGAACCAACAAATAAACAAATAAATAAACTTGCCCTAGCATTGCCTAGAAAGTAAGGTGTCGCATTTATTAAGCTTGAAATCAAAACCCAATTTTTCCCTAAAGAGGGACAAAACAGACCCACAGGAACAGGTTTCCACTCACGTGTCAAGGGAAACGCTGAAATGGATCACGTAAGCACGTGGAATGGTGTCCGGTAATGTTTTTTGTTTGATCTCGTAACAGGGGCATTCAGACTGTATGACGTGGACAGCGATGGTTTTATCACCCGAGATGAGATGTACAACATCGTCGACGCCATTTACCAGATGCTGGTGAGTAGAAGAAGAATATGTGGGACCATTTTTGAATAATCTTTGACATAATGTATTTTCTTTGAGCTCTCTGTACATGTAAGTATACATCTAAATATGTGCTATGTAATGACTTTGATTCCTCAATGCCAATTTATTAAACGTTAAGAGTAGTAGTTGATATCTCGTATACTTGACCGTGTCTATTTACAGCCTTAAAGCAAGTGATAACAGGAAAAAAAACTGTTAGCAGAGTAACGCTTTTTGTACTTTTCTTCCATCATTGATATTTTTCAATAAAAGAATAATCAAAGAAATACATCCTTGCCTTTATTGCGTTTTTAGGCTTATTCTACAAATGTGCCTACGTACATGCATGTTTTAACTACCCATAGCACACTTTAACCTTCCTTATTGTGCGATGCTCTTTAATAATAAGTTAAGGTTGGGTGTCGCATTTGTCATTTCGTACGCGTTCTGCACAGGAATGGCCGACACGGCATTCTGTGCTTATTGTGGCAGTGACAAAACAACTCGGCATGTTCTGTTCAAATGCCCGCAGCACTGCGCGCAGAGACAGTCGCTCTGGACAACCAGACTCTTTCGGAAGAAATAATCATGCGCTACCGGCAGGACTTATCTCGAGGAAAAAGGCTGTGAAGGCGCTCCTGCGCTTTTTTTGTTGAATCGGTCTCCACAAACGACTATGATTGAAACGCCGTGTATGTGTGTGCATGTGTATTTTTTTCCTCATTTATTTTATCTCTCTCTATCTCTATCCTATTTTCGACCCTTCTTTCCTCACCCCTGTACAGGGTGGCAAACTGGTTCTTCTTCTTGGTTAACCTTCCTGTCTTCTCCTTTTATTACTTATTTATATCCCTCTTGATAATAAGTACTCTATATGAAGTGCTTTCTACCACTTTTACGGTTGGTTACGCAATGTTCAATGCTGACATTATCAGTTCTACTCCATTTGTGTGCTTGGGCCTACAACTCATTTATATCATGCGTCTGTGCTGGTAAACCAACGTGGTGCTGAACAACTTTGCTGGCACGCGCAGCTCAAGTATGCAACTTTTTAGACAAAATTTTAGCACTATACGCTGAAGGAATTTGACTTTATTTTTCTTATTCCACCCCTCTTTCCTTGTTTCTTCTGTAAATAGGGAAACCAAGCGAAGGACAACGCTGAAGAGTCTCCCCGGGAGAGGGTTGACAAGATATTCGAACAATTGGACAAGGTAGGCTGCCCCAGAGCTGTTTATCTACCGTTATCTGCGCACATGGGCTACGAGGTTTATAGCTCTGTCACTCAATAAAGTCATTGTGGAGTGGAAGGACTCGCGCTGAAACACGGGTATACTCTGCAAACCCTGACTTCGACAATGCGGGGGAGGGGGGTCGTCGCGAGTGCGAGACAAGCGTGTCGAGCGAGGTTGATGAGCTCATTGTCGCGTAACTGACTGTGCCATGGCAGCAACTTCCAAGAAACCCATTCTTTACGCATTTACGTAAAACGGCCGGGTATTTTCGGGCCCTGTTTGCTCGCCCCGACATTGGACACTGCTGCGATGTCTGCATTTCAGTCCCTAAGCTCGCCGCAGAGGCCCACTGTTTGAATAAACTCCCTACAACACTATTCAAAGTACTCGGGTGTAAATTTGTACGCTGACCTAACAGCGTCGCACACAGGCGTATGCTAATCAATAGTCAGCCCATGCATGCTGCTCAGATTTCTACGCTCAGCGGGAGAGAGTATTTTTTTATGGTGAGCTGGCATAATTATTGTTTAGTGCAAACGTGTCAATGAACTAAGGCCACAAAATTTAATGACATTCATATCTTGGAGATCAGTAAGCAATCCAAAAAAGTCTCACCAAGTTGTACCAATCCCGTCTTCAAATATTTATCCACTCTTCACTAGTGTATGAAAAAGTCTCATTATAGCAATATGCTCGTAGTTGTGACAGTTACCTCTCCTAGTGCATGTTCCTCTAGCCCTCGCATTCAAGGACTTTAGTGGGGCACTAATGTTTTCTTGCAAACTAAAATAGTACTGCATTTCGATATATTTGTAATGTTATCATGACCTTGTTTGCTATGTTTGATGTTCGTAAATCTCTTCACTATAGCAAGTTTCATACCTTTGTCGCATTTTGAGTAGTTGCGCTTTTTACCGTAAATTAATTTAGTACTTTTTGCTGATGTCGTTCATTTGTCGTTTGTAATTCATTTTTGCATGAACATTTCATAACCGCTTTTACCACGGCAGACTCTTGGCTACATTTGACAATTGCCGCCACCCCCGCCTCATAAAAAAGGTGAAGCGCAAAGAATAAAGACACCCCAAATATTATATCATCATCCTGATGTCATTCCGTGGCGCGGTGCACTAAAAGCGACTTTGCACCGATAAAGATTGGACGTCGACTACTGAATCGTCAGTGTCGAAAGCGAAGTTTTCGAGTCAATAAACGGCGACAGCTTATCTTTCAGTTGGTGGAATGCATCCTTATTTAATTCTTGGTGCATTCAGCCCACTTCAGTACGTAGGGAACATTCCCTAAATATATTTAATGCCCAGATAACAAAACTGAACTATGCAAAAAAACTAATGAGCAATAAAATATGTGGCATTTAGATGAGCGAAGTAATGTCATGGGGCGGGATTAGTGAGAAACGCTTTTATAAGATGGCTTGTCTTCCATTCAAAATTACGAGCAATTTTAATAGCTCTCATGTAGCTTAGCGGTGCCTTTAAAAAGGTGGTAGTGAGCCGACAGACTGTACTTGTTCATAAAACATGTGTTTATAAACTATGTGTTTACTAACCACATACTGACAAAAAATGTTACATGTGATTAAATGTTTAAATAAAATCTACACATACACGCGCAGTAAACTTCAGTATCTACTTTCAATATTCGCGTTAATTTTGTAATGCAGATTCAGTACACTTTTCACTTTGAAAACCGTGGATAGCCAACTATACTTCTACCGATGACCAAATATTTCATAAATAAAAAATGTTTACTAAATTTCAAGAAAACCTACTCCATGTCATATTTCTAAATGTGAATAAGCCGTGGACGTCGATGCATAAGTAGCAAGTTCAATGTGTAAAATAGAATTCCCGCTGAAAGTGAAAAGCATACCTATTATTCCATATCTGCGAAATCAAAGGTTAAAGAAGCAGTTGATAGTATACGGCAACCTGCGCTAGGTCGTATGAAGCCAAGGTCTTTAATCAGTTTGAAAAAGAAACATTTTTAACTATTAGTTACAACCGACGGAAAAAGTATCAGCTGCACCCACACCCATTGGCGTCCCATGCAAGGACTGTTTGCATGGTAATTGCACCCGCAAAGGAAATTTCATTTTAAGAAAATCGCGCAAGTGATACAGGCAGTTACAACCCTCCACTAGAGTGTAGTGGTTAAGGTGCTTGAGCGCTTGGCCGCATGTCACGGGATGGAATACACGCCGCATTTAAATGCAGATAAATTATTATAGGCCAGTGTGCTTAGACTATCATGTACGTTAAAGAACCCCTGGTGGTCGAAATTCCCACGCAGTGCTTTCTCCTAACGCAATCCTTATAGTGAGATCATAATTCTATCGTATTTTTCCAACGTAAAACCCGCAAAATTATTATTAAACAGGCATTTATTCATCAAACGCTGTCATGTTGTGCTGGTATACCCTATATACAAAGGTTAGCAGCATTTTCATGCAAGCGGAAAATAGCACTAAGTTATTTAGCTATAATACAGCTGCAAACATGGCTTACTAAAATATCATACATCTATAAGTAGATAAAAAAGGGAGCAATGAAGCAACTTATTATCGTTTACTTTGTTCAATATGGATCTGGCAGAAGCCTTATAGTCTACTTCTTATTATCTTTTTTTAAGCTCACCAAAGAGGAACAGTCACAGATGCGACAGGAAGATCCAATCTCTTGTCGTACGTCTGTGCTTTCATCGGGCCCCACCATGGTGGTCTAGTGGCTAAGGTACTCGACTGCTGACCCACAGGTGGCGGTATTGAATCCCGGCTGTGGCGGCTACGTTTCCGTTGGAGGAGGAAATGTTGTAAGCCCGTGTGCTCAGGTTTGGGTGCACGTTAAACAACCCCAAGTGGTCGAAATTGCCGGAGCTCTCCACTACGGCGTCTCTCATGATCATATGGTGGTTTTGGGACGTTAAACCCATCAATGCGCTTTCATCGTCCATGTACTGACATTTTTTTTCTCCTTAGATTCAAGCCAATCGATTAGCCCCAGTGAATATTTATGCTTAGACTAATTTATCTGTGCGCAATTAAGGCATACGTATTATTAGCGTTAAGTGCATATAGCTAGTAGCCAAAAACCATTTTGTAAATTTTTGTAAAGCCAGATACTGCATGCTGCGATTGTCGGCATGTATGCTGTCACCCAATTACGTTCGCTAATATCTGCGAGACCAAGCAATTTTGTGTGTTTAGGACAGCCGATATTGTCATACTGATACACGTTTTTGTCACTACTTCTACCTCAAAAACTTGGCCAACCGGGCATGTTCTATCGCACATTTTCTCATAAGCACTCGGCCAAATGTAATGTTTTATGCAGAAATGACAAAATTTTCTTGTCCAGTGCGTCCAGCTTTGCATTTGAAGAGAAAAAAAAACATGCTCTGAACTTGAAGCCAGGTGGCGAGGCTCTCTTGCAGATGTGAAGGGCATGGAGCTTTTAATTCTTTTCCTAAGGTTATAAAAGACAACAGACATTTGTCACTGTGTGACGTAACCCTGCAGGAGTGAATGGGGAGGCGCTTTGCATCCAGTGTAACTGGATCATTTGGCACACAAACGTATTCATTTGCCACGCTCGCAAATGTCAGACTAGTGGTATACTGAGTGATCTAAGCTGAGAGGGGGGGGGGGGGGAGTGGTTATGTTGTAAAAAGGAAAAGAAAAGAAAAGTGAGCCTCGTCTGCTTCAGGGATTGACACCTGAACAGTAGCTCACAAGGGATGGGGTAAGGAGGGATTAAAAGGATAGTAATAAAGGTGTAGAGAGAGAGAAAGAGGCGTGAGGTGGTAAGCCAGAGAGGGACGACATATCGAGGGGATAGGAGAGATAGGAAAGATGGAAACACAGTCACAGGAGTTCGAGGACGGGGAGCGATTTGCAAGAGCTCTTGTCGGCGTCAGGAGATGGCGTAGAGCAAGTCCAGACGGTCAGAGCTACGCGGACGTCGGAGATCGCGAGCGCACAACCGGTCAGCACGGAATCCAGCGAGCGAGTCGATCTAAGCTCAGGGAGAGCATAGCCATTGAGTCTGCGAGTAATACGTAGGACGGCAGAGGCTGCTGCCATTCTATCTGTCACTTGATTACTTAAGAGCGTGTACTTTCGTAAGCAGCTGAGTGTCTGGTTTTCTATTTCGAGATATGACCAGAAATATTTTTAAAAACTGACACAGAGTGTGACATACATTATCAAGAGTATCACTCAATGTGATCTTGCGAAAAAGTACTCGGGGGGTAGTTTGAGAGTGTGCTGGTAATGCTGCAATGGTAATGAGAAACAGCTTTAGGTGCGTTTTTACGATAATAAAGAAGTGCGAAAGTGACAACATTCCATCCCTACAACCCGTGTACTTAGATTTGGGTGCACGTTAAAGAACCCCAGGTGGTCGAAATTTCCGGAGCCCTCCACTACGGCGTCTCTCATAATCATATGGTGGTTTTGGGACGTCAAACCCCACAAATCAATCGATCAATTAATTCCAACCCTACAATCACAATAGTAATTATATGCTAGCAGTAATGCCTAGTTGTTTTTACATCAACTTTTCAGCATTAAATGTGTATGTTCAATGAACTTGTATTGAGGATTGTGTATTTATACTACATTTACAAGTGCTCTCTAAGATTATATTTTTTTTTCTCTTCAAGTGCTTAATAAGTTGAGGCTGTATTAGGCGTGGCCTGGCATAAAATGTGCGGGCTTTTAATGAACTTGTTTCTTTAATTATTTATTCTGTTATTGTCGCATGCGTACGTATTTATACGAAGTGCTAGGTTTTTACAGCAAAAGCTGTTTTCAGACCGTAGCAAGGGTTGCGTGTGGCGCCGTAGTTGTCCGCCGCCGCCGCCCCCATTGGCCATAACCATTATCACAGAAAATTACAAAAACGTTTAGTGAATAAGAAGACACCAACGACACAATGAGATTCACACCTAGGTCCCCT